CAGTCGATTATCACATTCTGATAATCGACTGTTGCTCAGCTTTGTTCAAAAAATCTGCAGAACGATGAATAATCGATTTTCAAGTTGATAATCGATTATCCATCGTCTTCTACCTCGAGCCAACTTGCGGAAATGTCACTTTTACTCACCAAACTTCAATTAAAGTATATAAAAATGTTCTCCAAGGTTCATGGATCATTTTAGCATCATTAATTCATAATTTTAACATCAATTTCATGGTTTATGATTCTTAGTTCTTCAAGCATGTCAAACCCAAAACTCAACCAAATGACCATCTATGAACGTAGAATCGATCTATATGAGCATTCTAGTCATTAGATATATCTACGGGCTTACCTTGAAGCATAAGGGAGGTTTTGAAGATTTTCCGGCGACGAATACTCTCTGCTCCAGCGACCTCACACAAAAGTGACAACACTAGGACACTCCTCTCTCAGCAAAGAACAATATAGAAGCAAAATTGAATTGTTTTGGTGAAGTATTAAAGGAGTTGTGTTTGTTTATATAGTGGAGAAGAAGGGAAGAAGCCAACTCCTATTGCTTCTACGTAATTGGGATCGACTGATTGCACTGGAAGGGAACATGGCGCCGTTTCATGATTAGTTCTCTGATTAGGACTAATTTGGTCCCAGTCGGGGTACACTTTTTGGTCCAACCTTCTCCGAATTGAATTCTGTTTGCACCATTGCGATCGGACAGTCGAACTCCATTCAACGATATAATTTTTATATTTATTTGAAATACTTTTTCCGACATCATATTTTTGGGTGTTTGACTTTGACAGAGTCAAAATTGAAATAATTGATATACAAGTAGAATTACTCTCATATTCAATCAATATTATTAAATTTAAATATTTATTTCAATTAATCATTTTACAAAAGTTCACATCTTTGACTTTTTCTCATTTTTATACAAATTACATATTTAAAATGTCATAATTGAACCTCTTTACATCAGATTTATTCATAAAATATGCTGTTGGATTCGTCTCTTCGAGACCTATCCATAAAAGTCAATCTTAACAAAAATCATTGACTCTAAAAATTTCTTCATTTTTGGTCAAACATAGAAATAATGCTTTGTTGAGTGAAAATATGGTTTCTAAAAATACTTTTATAATAGAATAACTTTTAGACCATGTTTTGGGGCGTTACATTTCTTCCCCCCTTAAAGGAATTTCGTCCTCGAAATTCATCTAAGGTTCACCGATCAATATTTTGTTGTATTTTTGTTTAATCATGACTTCGTCATGTTCATTCATTATGATTAGGTCATTATCCCTACGAATACTTATTCTCAAACCGTTATTGGCATCATACTCGTTCTATCTTCGAGAGATTAACAAAGTTATTCATACATCTTTTTACAGATTCCCATTTGAAGTCAAAAATAATTAAATAAGTTTCCTTTACATCATATTTTGGAGTATACTTGACATATTTGCACATAATTTTGTTTGTTCATAGATCTCGCTTATACGTCATTGATCAACAATATTCTTTGATCGAAAGCTCTTCAATAGCCCTTGTAGTTTCGAATCATTATATTAACGGAAGGTATAGTTAGGGATTTGTTTCAATTCATACGTCATAGTGTAATCTTCTAAGTCTTTAAGACATCTTCAGCAACGACTCATAGATAACATTAAATGGATTTTATTGGTTCATGATTTTTCACAATATGAAGCATCATTTATGAGGAAATACTGTCGATTGATCATCGATTTACATTGGAATATTTCTTCATTCACTTCATGGTAGCTCTCATTATCGTTAATGAGTCTTTGTATTCATAGGTGATGACATTCGAGTAGCGTATCATATATGTCTTGTTGTATTTCAAATTTCTTTCATCAATTTGGAAAAAAAATATATGTTCATGATAGCAACAGGTTCAATTGTAACACTATGGTTGATCTTGTTTCAAGGGAAGAAGAGAATGTCTTCGGTATGTTATTCAATTTACGAATTCAAAGAGTAAGGAATCGTACATGTTCTTACACCAACATCGTATGTAAATTCGGGATTTTTGCTTGAATGATTCAGCTTGATCATTCTGACGTCATTTCTTCTCTGGTCGTTGTACATACATTCCCTTGTTAGGGTCAAAACAGAGTTTCTTGATCATTATCAATAATAATCTTCATAGATAACGCAATCGCATTAACTATTTCGTAGCAGTTCCCTAAAGAGGTTTAACATAATGTTCAAGTCAGGGTAGTTTTATTATTGTGATCGAGTCACGTAGTTCACAGAGTATAGTTTCCAAGGTTAGTATCATGAAGCATCTTTGGTTTAATGAAGAATCGTGGTTTTAGTATTTTGACACAAAGAATGGGATTCAATCTTTTCAAGATTGATCAAGCGGGATGTTTCAAGGGTGTAGTTAATACAGCAAGTTTGAGTAATTCAAGGATATGAGTCACAAGATATCAAGATAGCGTTTGCAAATTACCGTTACTAATTGTATGTTTTCTTCCTTCAAGGTTTCACTCTTTGGAAGTTACTCAAGAGGTCGTTGTCTTAGGAAATAGCTGTTTTGACTTTTTGTCTCGGATTTGAACGTGTTTCAGGATAGCAAATCTAATTATTCCTCGGTCTCAATATGTCACACTGTCAGCAGACTACAGTATTGATGAGTACACTTTTGTCTGTAGATAGTTGAAGCGAATTCACTTTTCTGTAGGTATTTTGGCTGGTGATAATTACTTCTCCATCAATGGTCAGGTTCCAGAGACTATATATATCACGATTATGAGAAGAGTATCTCACATTCTTACATTATGGAAGGAACTTCTCGAACACTTCCTTACAACATAAGATTCGTTGGTCTTCTTGGCAGTCATTCTCTTGGCAGAAATCCAAAGTTTATGGCTACTGCAGTAGATTTAGGAAGAGAATTGATAAGGCGAAGAATTAGTCTTGCTTATGGAGGAGGCAACGTTCGCCTACAAGGAGCTGTTGCTTCAACAGTCTTTACCAATGGTGGTCTCGTTAGAGGTTTCATTCCTGGGTACATAGCAACACGACGGGTCTACGGACCTACATATGGCGTAGAGCACACAGTTTCCAGCAATTACTACAAATATTTTGAGATGAATCATGCTGTGGAAGCTTTCATTCTTCTTCCCGGAGGAGTTGACACTATGGAAGGTTTGTTTACCTTGATCTCGTGGGCTTCTGAAGGGTTACACAATAGACCCATTGGTCTTTTAAACATTGACGGTTATTTCAATAACCTTCTCAAATTCTTAGACGATGCGGTGAGACAGAACTTCATGGCTT